TTTCTGGTTTGAAAAAATAAAAATCCCAGTAAAAGCAGAATTTTATTTGGCCCTAAATTTCCTTACCTTGAGATAGCTCTACTTAATTAGTCCATAGCAAGCAGGTTAGAGACTGGTCAAAGTCACCCCATTTCTGGGGACTCTGCTTACTGACCAGTACATAAAGGCTGGGCTTCTCGCTGGGTAAAGTGAAACCTTTGCCTTTAAGTCTCAGACCTTTTCTGAGAATTACTTCTTCTGGACTGAAAAGCTATTTATAAAAGTACAAAGATAACAATTTGGCAATGGAGATCATTTTATAGGGTTTTGTATTTTCCTTGTTTATGTCCCTATATTTTCACCAGTTTTTGGAAAAAATTATTTTTTAAAGTATCGTCTATCTCAGTCACGCAATGGAGAACCAGAGAAACAGCAACCTGGCCATGTTTAGAAGAGTAGAGTTTTACAAGGAGGAGCAATGGGAGTAAAAAGCAATGGGAGTAAAAGTGAAGGACCTTTTGTTCCACTGGAGATTCCCCTTCAGGACAAACCATGTCAGCATCCTACGTTGAAATGGTTTGCATTTAATTTCTACAAGGGAAGCTATACTCTTGCAATTATGTTTCTCAAACTCTGGTGTCTGTTCCTAGAAGTATTCAAAGCCACGGGATAAACATGGCACATTTTCCTAAAGAGTTGATGTTACCAGAAGCATGAATAGTAAGAGGGTAAGGGATCTCACTGGCAAATTTCAATATTTAAACAAATAGCTATTCCATAGAATAAAATGTAAAGTGCGAGAGTTTTAAACATATAAGACTTTAAAGAGATACTGTGCTTAGAGCTAGGCCTGCACCCCCAGACAGACAACTTAGGAGTACACGTACTCTCCTCCTATTATGGCTATTTCTGTGGAAATGTTTAAAAAGCAATACCTTAAAGAAAATCTCATAGAAAAGCTTTTATTTTCACTATGAACAAGTTATCCAAAACTTTTTCTGTGCAAACAGAAAAAAAAGGAGCAAAATATTAATTTGTAGATGCAATTACTATTTTCCTTTGTTTACTTATTTAACTCTTCAGGTATAAGATATGGAAATTCTCATCCAGTTTATTCTATATACTTCCATAAAGGCTCTGTTTATTTTCAGGCTCTCTTTGTCAAACTAACATGTCTTCAAGGCCTTAACAAAAATAGCATCATCACTACACAGATATATAAGCCACAGGAATAATGATATTTGACAGTATGCAATCAGCGCTTTACCTGATCTTCCATTCTCTCTGTGCCTTCTAAGACAATCTTCTGGACATTTTCTTGTCTTTCCTGAGCAAGAGAAAATTTGTTCTAAAAAAACTCCACAACATTTTGATATTTGCTTATTTTTCAATGTAGACAAGTTCTTGTGTAATTTAGTTCACGGTTAAAATCTTTCTATCTTAGGGGGAAAAG